TTTCTGACAGAGAATGGGTTTCAGTTTTTAACAGCTGCAACATGAAAAAGATTCCCAGATGGGCCTTTTCATCTTCTGCCTCCCTTGCCCACAGCCTCGGTACTTTCCATCCTTTATTTGGAGGCAAAGAAAAGCAGTTGGCTTCATTCTGTGAACTTGAGAAGTCCTGTGCGAGCGGAAGGGACTGCTAAAATGAGTAATAAAGTGTCTTGGGAAAGAGACTGCAAATAGGATGCAGACCTACTGGAAAGACAAAAAATAAATGGAAACATTTATCATCTTACATATTTTAAGGTAGCTAAAATAAAGCACTAATGCCCTGGGCATAGCATAACCGCGTTATTAAGAGGGGGATGCTCAATGTATTTCATTAGCAAGTTGCTTTTAGAACCCATGCGTTGTAATCCTCATCTTTTAAAGGCAACGTAAAAGTTGTCTGGACTTTTCTTGCACTGCTCCAATATATCACATTTCATGGAAACAGCTCAGAAAACAGGGATCTCTGATTACATTGCAGCTTTACTTCTGCTCCTATGATCATCACTTGTCGGACACATTCGTGACTTGTTCCTTATGTTAAATGAGCTGGAGAAGCTCTGAGATTTCACATTTCAGTGGCAAGGTCTGCTCCCCGGTTTCATAGGATGGGGTTAGTCCAGAGCAGAGCATCAAACACAGATCCAGGGAATGCCTTAAAATCCTGGGAACACATATGAGAAAGCAAGACCATCTTCACACGGCTGGCGTGCCAGGAGCTAGAGACGCCGGCTGAGCAGTGGGTTTCTCTGCAGCCTCCTCACTGTAGGCACGCAGAGGAGCAAGGGCCAGAGCGGAGCTCGCACAGCGCTGGGAATCAGGCCGAGGGACCCACTTTGCGTTTCTTTCCCCGGCCTTGCAGGTTGCTTGAGCAGCCACACACGTGCAGGGATGTGATGGTGAGAGCCCATTAAAATAGGCTCTTGTACTTCCTAAATCCTCCTCAGTCCTGTGCAATCAGCTAATATTTTTCTCTCTGCTTCACATGCGGCTGCTTGTGAAACAAGGAAAGGCTGCGTGAGCCCCATGCAGATGCTGGGACTGTGTGTCAGGACAAATTGTGTCAGGATAAATTGTGTTAGGAAGCACAGTTGCTCCTTCAGGTGCAGCTAAGCCGGTCCCTATTCGAGTAACCTCCCTTGAGGGGACACATGTGTGGGATGAGACTCCATGCCCCACATGTCCCGTGTGGGATTTACTGCAGCTGGTTTCCCCAGGGACACAACTGCTTAATCCTACGCTCAGCCATGGCATCTGAGGAGCGCTGCAGAGGACAACCTGCATCAGCAGCTGCCTCCCCTCCTCAACATGCCCCTTCTGACCCGCGTCCTGGAAATCCCAGGTTCAAACAACGCTGCAGGTAACATCCACAGAGTCACAAGGTGCACATGTCAGCCCAAATGCTGCATATCTCAGCAAGCTGATGGTTCTCGTAAATCTGCCCTGTGAGGCACGCTTATAATTTTTGGTTAGGTGTTTTGTTTAATGCTACATGTACAAGGAGGCAGTTTGAGCCCAATAATCCTGTTTAACTTTGGTCTTTGAACCTTGGTTTCTTGAGCCTCTCCTTAAACGTACAGAAGCATAACTTTTTAGTCAAGGAATATGCATAAAGTTACATGGTGCTATGAATAACTTATTTGCTCAAGCTGTTGCTCTAATGCTGTGACATGAAGTGTGAGCTGTCAGGAGAAAATGGGAATTATACTGTGAAGATCAATGAGCACTCAAAGGTCTATACTAACACTACTTGACACCAGCATTTTGGTTACAAACTACATTTTGTGTTTCTATGCAAGGCTTGATGATCGAGCAAGATGGAATCATTGTGTAAATAACATACAAACATACTCTCACATATTGATTATTTTAATTTCTTAAGACTATCAGAGCACTGCTGTTAATTACACGAACAACAAAATATTTTTACTCAAGCAGAACTCTAGTGCAAGGATGTTTAAATTGAATTGGAAGCAACAGCAATATTTCTGACATAGGTAACATTTAGTAACAAAAGTTCTGTTGGCAAGTGAGTATTTGTGGGGACCTCTTTCATTAAGTTTGGGTTATGAATTCCAGTAGCGTGTTGGATAAGTAGAGTTTGTCTCTCTAAGGTTTAGGGAACCCTAAGGAAATTTTCTGTATTTGCATCAGATTATTCTAAAGCTGTGGTAGGATAGTGCTGGAGTACTTTTAGTTACTCTGTCAGAGGTCTGAAAATGAGTGTGATTACCTCTGTATTAACCTTGCCTCAGACAGCAAATCCCTCCGTGGGTGTAGGCAAGACGCCAAATCTCTCCTGTTTCCTCCCTGCCACGATCAGGGTATCAGACAGACTAGGACGCTGCTTGCAGTGCTGGATTTTGGTTTGCAAAAGGCATTTGGCCCGAGGAGGATGCTGGTTTGAGGAATCGATGGGTTCGGCATGGAAATGAAGTGAAGTGAAGTCCAGCGGTGCTGGCACTTCTGCAGCACTGAAGTGGAGCCTGGCAACCTGCGCAGCCGGGTGGGAGAGGTTTGTTGATTAGACAGCACTTGAAACACAGCAGTCTGGCTGGATTGGCAGGACCTTGCTGCTCCTCTTGTAAGAGGTGGTGTTTCTGAAAGAGGAGCAAAACCACCACTGTGGAGCACCCTGCAAAATACCATAAAACTGCAGGATTCCAGAGCCTGCTCATCACAGGCACATGTGGTTTGGAAAGCTTCTGATTGCCCCTCGTGTCCCCAGAACCAAAGCTCTGTTCACATAGACAGTGTCCTGTCTCTGGCAGAGCCCCAGACAAGCAGGAACGTGTGCCTAGGGAAAGGTATGAAACGGGCAAGCTTGTCCTCATGTGTCCCCAGCCTACCTAGACAGCTTCCAGCAACCTGAGCCTCCAGGAGTCCACAAGATAAGAACAGCATCTTCATTTTGTTATTAGTCCATGAGGGTTTTTTCTTACATATATTTCTTCATTTGCTTTTTGTACCTATGTAAATTGGTATCAGCATCCTACAGCAAGGAGTCCCTTACTTTATTACACTTACTTTTTACTTGGTTTGAATTGTTTTGATTAGTTTTGATTGATGACAACTATTTCCTGAATTTATCATCCGTAAGTTATTTCTGACTATATAAACCCTATCCTATGGCCCATGCCTCTTCCTCCGCCTGGAGAATCATGATCTTCTTACTCGTTCATCACAGAAAAGCCACAGAATTTTCATGTATCTGATCATTCTCCTTGCTCTTCTCTGCAGCTTCTGCAGCTTGTTATGGCTTTCAGAGAGGGAAGAATCAAGCTGAAGTATGTAATAAGTAATGTCATTTGGATGTACAGCAGCATGCTCATGCCGGTGCCACCTGTGTCACAGGAAAGGGAAAGACTTTTCCCCAAAGGTCTCCAGGATGCGACTTTGGGAGACAGGCTTCTTTGAGAGAGGAATTTATGGTCTGACCCGAGTGGCAGTTTCTATATGATTATCCAGGGCTGGGCTCTGAGGTTCCGGCTAGGACTGGGGTCTTGTTTATTGACTGGCTCATTTCAGCTTTTTAACCACTTGGAGGTTATCCCTTCAGCTCCTTCAGATGACATCCTGGAGGTGCACGTCTACATACAGCATTTTTCACAAAGCTCTTACATATACAAGGCAGAAGGGTGCCAGTGAGAACTGAGTTGGATGGAGAGAATGAAGAAGGGGTGAGTGTGAAAAGGGGTGCTGAGGGCTGCAAAGGGAGGCAGAGCAGGCAGGAACCAGGGTGCCAAGCCCTGGGCATGCTGCAGCCCCTGGGCTCTCCCGCTTTTGGATCCGGTAAAGGGAGAAGTCCGGAGTCTGCAGTAGCAGGCTGGGGCCAAGTGACTGAGCCAAGGCTTGGCTGACCTCTGTCTATGCATCTGTGCTCTTGTTTCTGTTTTATGGCTCTGGGTATGTGTAGCCCAACAGTTCTTATGATCCAGCACCAGAATAATGCAATTTGTAAACTAGATAAATCCAGAATCTAGATCCTTCAGAAAAAGATCAACTATCTTGAATCTCTTCTGTGGAACATGACCAGAAGAGCTAAGACACACAGACGGTCCAGACATAACATCTACTGCAGCAGTTTAAGATCCCACAGTGCTAATGCAGGAAGCATTCCAGATGGCTTTCCTGGGATCGAGCCCTGAAGGAGTCAGAGTGCCTTGGGGAGCTGCCATAGAGCTCAGTCCAGCTGCTGCATTTTCATTGCTACCAAGAGGCAGCAGACACTGCGGTGACGCTGCTCTCTGCAGATGCAGCTAGTGCTCTGACACCAGCAGCCTGGGATTTGCTTTCAGCATCAAAACAGCTTGTAATTAAGGCTTCTGTTTGTTACATACCAAATGATTTTTGGCCTGTTCCCAAACCTTGCGTATCCGTACAAAGGAGAGGAAGTGGAATGCAGGAAGTGTCTGGGACATGGTGTCTGCAGTGAGTGAGACAGAGGAAATACACAGGTCTTTATTTTTCGCTGTCCCATACCTCTGAATGAGTTAGTCAATTAGTGCTATCAGGTTTTCAGGGCTTGCCCTCAACTGATGAATTTACAAAATGATGCAGGGAGATGAATGTGGTCTGTATTGACCAGAAACATCAAATGTTCATCAGGACCATGCAAGGGGATGGACTGGTTTTTAACCTGTCAGAGAAAAATATGGGATTTCAAACTCATGATGGCAAAAACAGGTGTTGTGTCATTAAACAAACAGAAATCCAAGGTATCGTAAAAGGTACCCCTCAGCGATGGTAACTGAAGTTCTTACTTTGTTATCAAAGGAGAGAAGGACATACCTATACTGAAGCTGTCCTTATGCTCCTCCTTTTTCTGTATGTAAGAAGGGGAGTGGAGAACTCTGACATTTCTTACAGGAATATGTGCCATGCATACATGGCACATATCTGTATTCCTTGATTCCCATCCTACTGGGCATTGAGTTTCTATCCATTTCTTTTTCCATTTCCAGTGTCCAATAAGCACCATTTTATGGACAGCAACTTGCTCTACCAATGCAGAATGAATTTCCGCCGGCGGCGGCGATTAATGGAGCTGCTCACAGAGAGATCTCGCTTGATGCCAGAAAGCCATGACAGCCCCTTTTGCCTCCGCAAGCAGAACCATGACAACAGAAAACACACCAGTTTTCTCTCAGGTGACTCCTTGGCTGTTTTAATGTTTGTAGAGTGACTCCTTGTGATGCTAAGTGCCCTTTAGCATCCTTATCTTGCAAAGGTTTTCAGTGTTTACCTACAGCAAGCAGCACAGTCTATCATGTTGAGGCCTGTAGTTAGCAATGTCCTCCAGGGGCCAGTCCTCGGCCCAGTCCTGTTCAATGACCTGGATGAAGGCACAGAGTGCTCCCTCAGCAAGTTTTATGGTGATACCAAACTGGGAGCTGATACCCCAGAGGGCTGTGCTACCATCCAGAGGGACCTGGACAGACTGGACAACGGGGCGGTGAAAAACCTCATGAAATTCAACAAGGCCAAGTGCAAGGTCCTGCACCTGGGGAGGAGTAACCCCAGACACCAGAATAGGCTGGGGACTGACCTTCTGGAGAGCAGCTCTGCAGAGAGGGACCTGGATGTCATGGTGGACGACAAGTTGGCCATGAGGCAGCAGTGTGCCCTCGTGGCCAAGAAGGCCAATGGGATCCTGGGGTGCATTAAGAAGAGCGTCTCCAGCAGGTGGAGGGAGGTGATCCTGCCCCTCTACTCAGCCCTGGTGAGGCCGCATCTGGAGTACTGTGTCCAGTTCTGGCCTGTTCAGCCTGGAGAAGAGAAGGCTGAGAGGGGATCTGGTCAGTGTCTATAAGTACCTCAAGGGAGGCAGTGCAGAGGATGGTGCTGGCCTCTTTTCAGTGGTGGCCATCGACAGAACTAGAGGGAATGGCCACAAACTGAAGCACCAGAAGTTCCACAAGAACTTAAGGAAAAAATTTTTAACAGTGAGGGTGACAGAGCACTGGAACAGGCTGCCCAGAGAGGTTGTGGAGTCTCCTCTGGAGATCTTCAAAACCCGCTTGGACGCGGTCCTGTGCCACGTGCTCTAGGTGACCCTGCGTGTGCAGGGGGTTTGGATGATCCCTAGATGATCCCTAAAGGTCCCTTCCAACCTTAAGGATTCTATGATTCTATGTATCTTACTCAGTTCTTTGGGGCTGCCCATCCAGTTGACTTATCTAATCATCTGTATGGTGTTTCTGTTCCTGTACCAATGATATTTTGGTTGTGTGGGTTCTCCCAAGCAAAAAGCAGTGTCAATAAACAAACAGAACTGAATAGAATCCCCCCCAGGCTCCGAGTAATTTGCCATATACTCAATGTTGTGTTTGAAGAAGAGCCAACATGAGGGGCAGCAAGAACTGAAAGAATAAATGGAAAGGAAGCAGAAGGAAAAACTTATTTCCATATCTGGAAATATCTCCTAGAAGATATCAAGCATAATGAGAGCAGTGGAGCTGTGGGGTGAGCTGCAGTGCTAGCATTGTCATGCAGGGACTCTTCTCACTGCAGGGAACATGCTAACCCATCTCTGGTATTACCAGTGAGAGCTTGGTTTATTGTTGCTATTTTAAAGAAACCAGGGAAATCCCTATTTCTGTTTTCCGTCTGCTTGTAGTGAGTCCCACCAAGGAGATAAAGATCGTGTCGGCGGTGAGGAGGAGCAGCATGAGTAGCTGCGGCAGCAGCGGGTACTTCAGCAGCAGCCCAACGCTCAGCAGCAGCCCCCCAGTCCTGTGCAACCCCAAATCCGGTAGGTACCTTCACTGGCAATGCACAGGAGACAGGGCACAGACCTCTGCTTGAGGAGAAGGTGATGCGAAAGATTCCTAGCACTGCATATAAATTTATCATTTCAAGGATATATTAAAAATTCACAGAGTCATGGATTTTTTAAGGCCAGAGGGAACTGTTTGATCATCTCGCCTGATGTCTTGCCAAACACAAACCAGAGACTCGCCTCCAGTAATCTCTGCATCAAGGCCATAACTGCGGTTTTATCTCATAGGAGGACATGCAGTCAGAGACCCACATTTGCCTGTTCATTGCCAAGCACCGAACAGATTCAAATCTCCTCCTGGAGACATTCCTTCTGTGTAAGTCAGAGGAGACTTTAACTATCCAGTGGCCACTGGAGTGGCTAAGAAGTAGCACAACTCAAATAGCAGCATCTAAGAAAAGAGGAAGCATTGTTTGAGCCTGTCAGGGGCAATTCTAACATTTTAGTTTGTTCAGGTCTTTAAAAAGTCTGTAAGGAACATAGAAGTTGTATTGAAACTTATCTTCCTTTTGAAAGGATTTCCTATCCTGCACCGGAATGTTAAAAACACTTGTTTTTACACGGTTTTGTTAAAATTACTTCTGACAGTACATCTATGAAGGAGAAAACAAACTAGGATAAATATTGTTTCAGCCACTTTATTTTCCTCAGAAACAGCCCCGAATTTCTAAGCAAATTAAGTCCTGCTCTTTGTGGTCCTTATATTTTCAAACACAATGATCTTGTATGGGGCGTTCGCAGGACTGCTGGGGGACAGAGAGAGGCTCGGTGCTGCTTTTGGCCAGTGGCAGGGACACGGCCATGTACTTAGCTTTCCAGAATGGCTACCAGAAAGAGAGACGCTGGCTCCCTTCCTTTCTTTATGTTGTTAGCACATACCCATCCCTCTCGTTCGGCTTTGGAGGGAAGGTCTAGAACATTTGAGAGCCGTGGTGTGGCAGCGTGGCTAGATCCATAACCCGGGCAGCGGAGCTGCTGTCCCGCCTGGGGAATGCTGCCCGGCCGGCTGGACGCGACACGCTCCGGGCGAGGGGCTGGGCTGCGTCCGGCTCTCTCTGCCTGCCTCTGTTTGCCAAGCGCTACAGTGTCAGGTTTGGGAAGGATAACTCTCAGGTCATCTTCCCAGACACTCTCTGATAGAGGTTGTATGGAAAGCACTTTGGCCCCAGTACATCATTAACTCTACCCTGGAAAAGTTCCTGTGACAGATAAAGGAGCATTTGTGTGTTGTCCATAAATGTTGCTATTATCTTAAGCATGCCTACTATTCCATTCATTTATGGCCTTGATTGATTGTGCATGAGGTGTCACCCAGGAGCGACCAAGTTTATTTTAGTGCAGATGATTATACAGCACTGGATGAGAAAAAATAGTCTGATGTTGCCCTTGCCCAAATTTTTCCTTTTTTTTTTTCTTTTCCCTTTCCTTTTCCTTTTTCTCCTTTTTCTTTTTCTTCTTCATTTTACTTTTCCCTTTCCCTCTCCCTCTCCCTTTTCCCTTTTCCTTCTTCCTTTTTCTTTCCCTTTTCCTACAAATACTCCCTCAGGATTACTCTTCAGACTCTGAATAGCTTAAATAGACTTACATTTTGAAGAGGATAAGGGCTTGTTTTTACGAATTGTACAATTCACAGCAGTGCAGGCTACCGTTTGACACACCATCTTGCACAAGTTAATGTAGGACTGTCAGATGTGAATGTTATGGGAGAACTTTTACTCTTCTGCTGGGCTTTAAAGCATTTTCAGTAAATAGTTACCTGGTTTCTGGAACCAGAACATTTAGCTGTACAGTATGTGAATAAACACAAGATAGGGATATACTGTCAGATGTGTTCTATTGCACACAAACACTTCAGGAAAAACAGGTCATGACTTGACCAGTCACGTAGAAAACTGCACAACAGCAACAAATTTCTGAAGCTATAATGAAGAGTGACATGCAAGGGAGTCCTGTGTGGATGATTAATCTGCTTCTGATTTGGTGAATGAGTATAATCATTAAGAACAGGTATGCTCTGCAAAGTATTACTTTGGCTTAATAACAGTTTGTCAAAATCCAATGGGTAAAAAATATTGATTTGTATTCTAGAATTCTTCCAGCTCCCATGGATGTCATTAAGAAATTCAAAACCATCTTAGAATACCATCTGTGAGAAATGTTATCTTCCACCTGTGGCTTAAAAGTCAGACATCATCCAAAGTATTTTCTTCTAAAAAAGAAAAGCACTTACAATTTTAAAGATGAAGCAAGCAAATGCAATAAACACCACGTACTTCTCCTTGGCCCTCCGTTCTGTGAAAGCATTTACAGACAGATAAAAAATGAATGCAGGACAGTATTGGTTTGATTTGGCAGAACTTTAACTTGTCTCAGAGAAAAACTACGGGGCAACGTAGCAGGGCAATGGGGAATCACACATACGGCACTGACTGCTATTTCTTTTCATGTAAAAGTCCAGTCCACTCTAATTTTCTTGGTTCTTGTGCTACTTTTAAGTCAGTCTGTGAGAACTCAAGTAAGATCAAAAAGGCATTGGACCCCAACATCCTAATTTAGTGGAGTTTTTATGAAAAAAAATCTGGAGAAATGATTATACTGAACTTTTATTTCTGTGTCTTCGCAGTATTGAAGAGACCAGTGACTGCTGATGAGCTCCTGATGCCTGGAGCCCCATATGTGAGAAAAACTTTCACAGTACGTTTCCAGTATTTTTCTTTATTTTTATATATTGGGTGATTTGCATAAGATAGTCCAAACAGACATTTTGTGGTGGGATACTGTACTGCTGACTTAAATGGAATGTAAAATTACACAAATCCAGTAATATATATATTAGACAAACTCACTTAAGCTTCAAGCATAATGATCTACCCTATTTCCTTGTATGTGTATTATTTCTAGTCTCTGGTGAGTCAGAAATTTTGATTCATATTCAAAACGAAAGTCTTTCTGAAAAGCCTGTTTTGAACCTAGTTGCTGCAAGCAGTGAGTTTACAGCCTCACAGGTCACTGAAAAGAAGTTTGTCAAAGGCAAAAGCCTTTCTACGCCAAAGGGAAGAATTCGTTCCGTTGCTGCCTTCCTCCTGCCACTGTCCTTCTTGCAGATCGTCGGCGACGCCGTGGGCTGGGGCTTCGTGGTGCGGGGCAGCAAGCCCTGCCACATCCAGGCCGTGGATCCGAGCGGGCCTGCCGCCGCCGCGGGCATGAAGGTAGGGGAGCAGGGACACGGCCCGCGCGCGGGCACCAACTTGTGCTTGTGCTCTTTGCTGTCAAAGCTCCTTCCCTCTGTCGCAGGCGTTTCTGAGCAGCAAGTTCAGTCACCTTTTGTCCTCCTGTCATTTTTTTCTTCCGTTCTTGAGATACTTTTAAATCATTTTTCTCGTGGTTTTTATCATTTTTAACCTCTTTCCCGCTCTGCACAATTTCTAACCACCTTCTTCTCTGTTTTGCAACTTGTTGGGTTGTTGCTCTGTAGCTTCAGTACTTTATAGATGAAGACACAAAATAAGCCATGGCTGTTCCAGAATGAAGCCAGCATATCCTGGTCCCTGCAAAGTGCTTAAGGTTCAGGACATAAGTTTTGGGAAGAAGAAGTTATGCACTGCTGAACTTTCATAAAGAGTTACTTTTATGCATGATTTAAGAATAAATAATTATAAATTCCCTGGGAAGGTTTATGTAGAGCTCACTGACTTGCCTGCAGCTCTAGATCAGGTCCTGTGTATATCCTACATGGCCTGCTGGCAGATAACCTCATTCCTGAGGAACCTGGAATTTTGCATATATTTTATATAATACGTATGTATAATTTTACAGTTTTGCTTATGAATAGTATCTTTTCCAAGCAGTGTTTCTTCCTAAAACTTGAAGATCTTAATTTAATAATAATGAATGCATTTGTGTGAATATTCTGAATCCTAAAATCACAAGTTTAGTACTTTAAGCATCTTTTACTCTTTATTGCAGCTAGCAATACAGTAGATCTATTCTGAAACTTGACGTGTAAAAATAGCACTGTGTTGTCATATGTGTAATCGTAGAGATTTCACTTGTGAGCTGGGCAGCTGAGAGCTGAAGACTGTGGCATTTTGCTGTGTTTTTACTTTTGGTTTCACAGCCCTGCAGTGGTACACCAAGACACTTGGATTAAGTTGGGTTTGTTGCTTCTGAAGCAGCTTTTATATAAAATTATGTCCTTGGGTTTTCCATTTGTGCTGTCAGTGTACTCATGTTCCCCAACGGGGTTACACAAATTTACTCAAATCATTCATGACGTAAGAGTGTATAAAGACTCCACACGGTATGTTAGCTCCTAAAATTGGGGTATATTGCTTGAATTTGTATGAAGGACAGATCTCATTATTTGCAAAGGTGCTACCTTCACATAAAATCCCTTTTCAGAGCAAAACTGCACATAAAATATTGTGGCCAGTATATTAGAGGAGTCCCTATGTAGACAGCAAAATTGCTTTTCCATTTTCAAAAATGCTGAATGCCTTTAGCCTCTAGTGATGATCTGTCAATTTCCTTCAAAAATAAGTTTTGTGTTGAGGTGTTCCCATGGCAATAGGTATGCAAATTGTCATGCAGTATTTTATTTTATTTTTTTAAATCTATGTCATTTAATCCATCTGTTTACAGATCTCTTCAATCTGGCCAATCTAAGGGAATGTATGTTATGTTTTACAATGACAGCTCATCAAAAATTAATCCTCCCCGGTGGAGAAGCTGGGAGATGGGCATTTTGAAAACAAGATATTAGGCAAAGCTACTTCTAGTGGAAAGAAAGGCCTGGCCTGGTGTAAGAGGCCTTTGTCTGCTGGTGTTGCCCTGAGTACTACACCAAAGGAACTCTTAACAAGGAAAGTTGGCTATGACGAAAAGGGCAAGAATTTGAAGAAGAGCCAACACTTGGCGTTGCAGTTTGCAGAAAAGTTCTTGGCAATAGCAGCAGGGATTTTCCTTCAAGGGGGATGTGTCAAGTGTAATCGTTTTGGGGAGCGTCCTTGTTTGTAAAGCTTGTGATTTTGCACTTCCCTCTGCTAGAGAGCATTATGTACCTGTCTTGGCGTTATGCTGGACAGCTTCTTTGGGAAGACTGCTGCCTGTTGTAGGATCTCACTTTGTGTACTTAAATCTCTGTTGTGTATTATATAAAGGAGTATGTTGCAGGATCCATTTACGTGAAGGACTCCATGCTGTCTTGCTTTGCTTTTGACCTTCCGTGAGCTCCTGGCCTGCTCCAAAGCTCTGTGAATTGAAATTCACAGTAGAAATGTCACACTGATGAAGGACTGCACACACACAACGGTTGCATGGTCAACACATTGTGCTGTGTCGCTGGGATGCACCCATCTTCCTGACAGCTATGGCATGGCAGCACTTGCCTTCTTGTTACACATAGCATCCTCCTCTGGGAGAATTTTAAGGCACTTTAATCCTGAGGAAAGACCTACCAGTATAGTCCACTGAGGGAGTGTGAGAGGCTGTTACGTTTGTGGGTTTAAGGCTAGATACCTCTTCTAGGCTTGTTAAATGCACTTGCCATTTGTAGTTTGAGGTTTCACGTCTGAAGCAGGCCAGATAATTTAACAAATCCCTTGTCGGCCAGCTTGACTCAGGTATTTTCAGGCCTGGTTTATTGGAGCGCACTTGCCCATGGCAGTGTTGCAAATGGCCTAACGGCTGTCAGCGCATTAGCAAGTAGGGGCTGGAGATGACAGGAGGGCTGTGCTAGGAGTCAGGGTTGCAACACCTCTTCTAGGGGACCCGCAGCTCTGGCTTGTTCTGTGCTCTTCTCAGCAAACTAAGATTGCAGGACAGCAGCAGCAGAGCTGGGAAGTTCCCAGCTCGCTTTAATGCTGAGCGTTGACTGGCTGCAAAATCCAGGTGTCTGCTGCTGACACCACTGAATCGTGCCAGTGGTCAGGAAGATTTCACCCTTCGAATGCTTTATTCTGCAAAGGGATTTTTATTTTTAAGGTATTTATTGAACAGCTACACAACTGGGCATAAAGATAGAGACTTTTGTTACCACTTAATATTGCTCTTGTTATTTAGTGTGGTGTCACCACAACGGTGCATGGGAAATCTAGCAGATCCAGCTTAGGGTGAGGCATGAGAGAGAAATAATCACCAGTGCTCTGCTTTTGCCTTTGGTTGCAGAAATCAGTGCCCACCTCTGACCTCTAGAGAATGTTAAAGAATATCTGACTCCTTGGCTCGGTTGCGAGCAAATTGATACTTATCGTTCTTACATATAAGGTCTTTCTGCTGGAGAAATTGTCAACAGTCAGTCCATTTCTCCAACCCTCCTCTAGTTCCTCTTCATTTCAGTAGACAGCATGGGACCAAGTCTGGTCACTGGTACCAGCTTCTCCAGTTTGAGCACAGTTTGGGGCTTATGGCTTGCAGTCAGTGTCATCGCAGCGTGGCCCCGCTCCCCTTGTGATCTTTACAAGCTGGCACAGCCAGGAGGTCAGCCTCATAAATCTTCTTTCTGTGCTGTGGTCTCTTACCTTCAGAGATGATCATTTCAGGTCAGGATCCTCAGATGATTTCACTAGCAGGGTAAGAGCCAAATCTCCTGTGTAATTGAGTAGCCACTGTTTTGTGGAAAATATTGCTGCCAGGGTCCCTCCAGGTCATCAAACCCAGTTTCCCTCCTGTCAAAGGAAGACAGGTAATATGTTCTCATACTCAGGTTCAAAATATTGCCACAGGCACAAAATACTAAAGTCTGCAACACAGAGCACTGAAAGCTACGTATTATGAGGTGCCAAATGAAGGGCAAAAAATGAACAGAGGAATTGCCAGTGTCTTGCATTCCAGCAATAGCAAGAAATTTGAACTGTGAAATTCTCTGGAGGTTGGACACAGCCCATGCTGCACAGAAAGGCAAAACCCACACCATGGTCCTGGCCAGCCAAACCTCAGAGAAAAATCCTTCCTTGCCCCAAACTTGGTGATTTCTCAGTTGTTTGACAAACGAGAGGAGTCACCCTAAAAAGCCTGAAATATTTTTATTCCTCCAGGAACAAATATCTGTGATGAATTTCCAATGTTTTACAGATTGGTGGAAAAAATAGAGGATGTTGGGCATCACAAGGGAGAAAATGTTTCCTAACTTCTGAAGACAACTAGCAGGAGCTTGAAGACTGGAATTTATATTGCGTAAATATGGCACAACAAAGAAGCTTGCCTTCAAACTTCTCCATTAGGCTTAGGGGAGGGAAAATATCTTAATGTTTGGTGCTAGGCTTCTAGCACTTTAAGAGATGAAGTACCTCTTAGCACCCCAAAGGGTGCTCTTATTATCTCATGTGACTGAGCTTTAAATGAGAAGATGAAGTAGATTTGGATAAATATTTATGCTGTGCAATAGCATATGGTGTTGCTGAAGCAGATGCAATAGAGTCTAAGAATTCCTATCTTACACCAACATGTTACTGATTGTAGAAAAGCATAAATTACATGAGTCGCCATCTGTTTTCAATTATGGCATGAAAACACTGAGGCAGGTTGATATTTTCCTTTAGTTGTGTTATCAGCTAGCTGCTGAATTTGATAATTACATTAGAGCAAAATCCAAATGAGTGTATTCAGTAATGTGAACACTCAGAAGAGAGCTGCTGACAAACTTCTTTCCTAGCTTGTCCATAAATAGAGAAGCAGCAGAGCTAAATGTGCATAGAACTATGCATGATGAATGTCACTACTGTGGTGCTTGAATAGAAATGTATATATACATTTCAAACAAGTCTCCTTAAGCCTGTGGACCAACTCTTAGCAGTGTTTAACTCATAAAACTCCATTCTCCTCCATGGAGACGTGAGCGGTAGATTCAAGCACCTAATGAAGACTTTAGAGAAGTCTTCAAAATCTATTTGTGTTTTGAAAAGACAAAAGACAGTTAAACAAACTCCAGCTTTTGCTTTATGAAGCTCTATCCAGGACCTCAAAATTATGTGTTAATTTTCATCACAGACGTTGGAAGGAATGAGCTGGGAAGATTATCTGTGAGTCTTGAACATCTTGTGAATTTTGCACAGGATGAGTAGTCTGTCACATTAGGACATGATAAGAGCAGATGAAGAATACCCTGGTCAACATTTTGGCTGCTACTTTTTAAAAATTGATCTCTAGCAGTTTTTTTTTTCTAAAATACTCCAGAGAAAAATGTAGCCAGGTGACTGTATTAGACAGTAGC